ACTGCTGTGTGTGTGTGTGTGTGTGTGCGCTTGTGTGTGTGTGTGTGTGTGTGTGTGTGTGTGTGTGTATGTGTGTGTGTGTGGTGCATATGTGCGTGGGCATGTATGTGAGACTGTGAGTGTGCGTGTGAGAGTGTGTGTGTGTTGATGGGCAACAAGTATCTGAATCCCTATCTTTTGTCCTCTGTGTGTGTGTGACAGATATTACGAGAGCATGTATGATGATGCAGAAAACCTGAACGTCTCGTATCCACCGAACCTGACTCCAGATGAGCAGCTGGTGTACCCGACGGACGCGGCAAAGGTGCAACACACGCACACACACAAACACATGCACCATGCAGATCAAACTGTATTCATGCATTACACACACACACCATAAAAACAATACCTACAACACTCACTCTCCCCCACTGTAGAAACGTTTTACATTAAATATATATATTAAGGGTGTCTCGATCCTCCAAATCCTCGATTCGATTACATTTTCGATTCTGAAGTCATGATTCGATTTGATTTTCGATTATAAATAATTAATTAATTAATGACCAATTAATTATTTGTAGCCTACCGTTTAAACTACCTGACCTGCATGGTCTTTGTTTTACCCATAAACAAATCATACAGTAAATGAATAAAGGCAAGATACACACATAATTACCACCTGTCAATCACTTTTCTGCGGGACTCGTGAATAGGCAGTGATCTGTGTCGTTATAATGGCGTCGGTAAAACCAACAGGAACCAGCCAACAGTATCTGAGGTGTTCGCTAAAATGACTAAGTACAAGTGAGTGAAAGATTGAAGCAGTCCTCTGACTGCCTGAACCTGCTGTCTGGAGCGCATGGCTGTGTGTGCGTCTGTGTCTGTGTGGTCACGTGATGTGCATTTTCAGAGGTAGAGAGGAAGGAGGGCTGCTCAGAAATGCTACACGCCACTGTGGATGTCAAATCGTTGTCGTTCTAAAATGCCATTTAAAAACAAAGACAGTGTAAACAGGGTCTGAGTGTGCACTTTTCGCGAGCGGATTTGCAACAGGGGCAGGCGGAGGATCGCGATGCCGGTGTTGTCTATCGGACGAAGCGTACGTAATACGTACATAGCAGAGCTTGCAAAAACTGTGTGTTTTTTTGTCGACAACACGAACGTTGTTAGCATAACTCACTGGAAATCCAAAATGCTTCCACACCGATGACTTCATTGAAAGAGGAGAGGGTTTAAGTTCTGTCGAAGGATCTCCTGCTTCTGCAGTTTAACAAGCACTTCAACAAGCCTGTTTTTTTCCCGCTTGGCAAGCAAAGCTGACGTGACATGGGGGCGTGGCAGCATCGACGATTCTATTTTTTGATTCGATAATCGAAATTGAGCATAAATTTCGATCGATTTCGCATTTTGTTGAGTGCATAAAATTGTTGTGTGCGACCAGTTTTTACTGCAAAATGTTCACCACATGCGCAGATTTGGGAGACATTCTTGCAGAATGTATCTCTGCACTTGAAACGCGAAACGCAGCGCTCAGGAATGATTTTAAACAGTTGTCATGTCAACTTGCTGTTGTAAACAAAGCCAAGTCCGTAATGGTTGCCCCGCCTTCGCCCACTGCTCTAGCACTGAAATATCAGCTGTCAATCACTCAGTCAATGCCTTCTGGCTTGGATGACAGAGAGAGCTACAACTGCGAAAAATTGTAAAGCGCTGAAAATGAGAATGGAAGATGAGTGGTTCAAACTCGATCATTTTGAGACGGGAACTGGCGGACGTGCAACAACTTTAACCATGAGGTAAACACAAAACAAAACTTTCTATCCGGAGGTCCTTCACAGGACTCCACACTTGTAAACAATCGCTCCATCGGGCTCGCGCGGCTCTCAGTCCCACCCACACTCGT